TGTCAGGATCATGGACCTGTTTTGTTATGTTTTGCCCCTGTTTCCGTTCCTGTGTTACCTTATTTGGTCATGTTCCTGTCCTCGTTTAGTTAATTAGTCATTCTGTGCACCTGTGTTTGGTAATTGTCCTGTGTTTATAAGTTCTTGTCTGAGCATTTCTCCTCTGTCGGGTCTACTTGTTGTGAATGTCATCCTTGTGCTCTGTGTCTCCCTATTGGATCATTAAAAGACTCTCGTTCTGAGAAATCTCCACGTCTCCTCATTTCGTTGTGCCCGTTCTCCAGCAAATTGTGACAGAAGACCCGACCAAATACAGTTACCTCCGTGTGTCTACCCTTCGTGTTTGTTTCCGTTTTTTCTCTCAGTGTTTTTGTTTCCGTTGTGTTTCCCCTTATGGATCCCTTCACCCGCCCGGAATTCCTCCTCCTCCTGCTGGAGCAGGGGGACAGATCTCTCGAGAACCATACGAGACTTTTCCGGCTGTTAGCTAGCACCACCAGCTACCCGGATGACGCGCTCTGCTCATTCTTTGATACGAGCTTGAACATCGCAAGCAGAGCGCCGTCGTCCGAAGATGGTCCTCGAGAGGATTTTGCCGCCTTCGTGGAGTGGACTCTGGCGAGATCCACTGCAGACCCAGTGCCCAGCCCACCATCTCCCCGCGGTGCAGAGCATCAGCCCGAGCCCACCGATGACGGAAAGCCAATTCCCACCGCGATCGCCGAGCCAGCGCAAAGCTGAGCGACTGAGTGGAGGATCGCCCCGGACGTTGAGCCCAACCTGTCAGACCAGGTGCGAGAGCCGGCGACAGTGCCCACCATGAAGGAGCTAGCCGTGGACAGAGAGAGCGCGGAGTGGAGCTCCGCCCACTGCACCACGGCTGAGGTTGAGCTGATTATACAGCTGTGTCTGCTGGATTTCGAGGGGGATCTTATAGACTGGGAAACAGAGCTGGAAGCCGACTTGCCCCCTCTCCTCTCTCCTTCGTCACCGCTGGTCCCGTCCTGCCCTGAGTGGGCTCCAGTCCCCGAGTTTAGCCCAGAGAGGGCTCCAGTCCCCGAGTTTAGCCCAGAGAGGGCTCCAGTCCCCGAGTTTAGCCC